AGCGTGTCCCCGAGTGTCCCAAAGGGTCCCCACTGCCTCCCAAATGGTCTCCTCGTGCCCCAAAGCATCCCTGCTGCATCCCCAAAGTGTCCTTATTTTGGCCCAAAGTTTCCCTGCTGTGGCCCGAAGTGTCCTCGTTGCATCCTAAAGTGTCCCCTTGTTTCCCAAAGTGTCTTTGTCATGTCCCAAATCGTCCCCTCATGCCCCAAAGCATCCCCCCGTGTCCCAAAGTATCCCTGCTGCCTCCCAAAGTGTCCCAAAGTGTCCTTATTTTGGCCCAAAGTGTCTTCATCATGTCCCAAAGTGTTGTCACTGCATACTGAAGTGGCCCCTTGTTTCCTAAAGTCTTTGTCACGTCCTTCATGTCACAAAGTTTCCCACAGTGTCCCCTCGTGTCCCAAAGCGTTCCCGCTGCGGCTCAGAGCGTTTTCATTGCATCTCAAGGAGTCCCCTTATGTCCCAAAGCCTCCCCTTGTGTCCAAAAGTGCCCGCTGTGTGTCACAGCACTTCCCTTATGTCCCAAAGTATCCCATGTCCTCTCAAAGTGTCCCCTAGTGTCCCTGCTGGGTCCCAAAGCATCCTGTGTCCCAAAGTATCCCCACTGCATTCCCTCATGTCCCTGCTGTGTCTCAAAGCATCCCTATTGTGTCCCTGCTGAGTCCCAAACCATCCCTGTTGTATGCTAAACTGTCCCCCTCATGCCTCAGAGCATCGCCCCTGTGCCCAAACTGTCCCTGTCATGTCCCAAGGTATCATCATCGTGTCCCAGAGCATCCCTGTCATGTCCCAGTGCATCCCCATCCTGTGCCTAAACAGCCTTGTCATGTCCCCTAGCATCCCCGTTGTGTCCCAAGTCCCCCGTTGTGTCCCAAACCATTTTTGCTGTGTCAGGTACAGTCCCTTTCGTGTTCTGAGCCATCCCCATTGTCCCAAACCATCTCCACTGTGCCTCAAAGTGCATCCCAGTGGCAGCTATGCTCTAGCCCCTGGTGAGAACCTGAATTTGATAGAAACAGCTCTGGGGACAGAGCGACGCAACCCCGTGCGCCCCTGGCTTCACCATCCGTGGCCTCACAGTCTATGGGCTCCAGCAGATGGAAACGGCATTTCTGCCACGGGGTGGTGCAGCGCGGCCAGGCATGGCTGCAGGAGACGTGCCCTCTGCCCCAGAGAAGTGGCACAGCCCCTGGCACCCAGCACCCCTCTGCATGGCTGAACCCTCCTCCTTGTGCGCCCAAAGGCCCCCATGCTCCCGTGCTCCTAGTCCATCCGTGGCTTTGCAAGATTAAAGTGATGAACAGCAGATCCGCTCTGCCATTGTGACATGGGTCACCATGGAGGGTCCCAACAGGGCACTGGAGCTGGGTGTGCAAGAAAATGCCTCGTTCGTGTGCCTAAATGGGCTCTTTATCCAGCAAAATTGCCAGCCAGCTCCTGCTGGATGCTGACTCTGGCCACAGGCACAGCCTGGCCTCTCCGAGCTCTCTGCCCTCCTCCAGCTGCCCCAGCCTTGGGGACAGTTCCCTGCTGGACAATGTGGCCCCTTTTTGCCCCATCGCCATACCAGAGAAACTCTTGTGGTGCCAGCGCAATGCGGTTTTGCTGTGTTTTGCCTGAAAATGCTGGGCTGCCCACCTCTCTGCCCCCTGAGAGCCCCTGGAGGGATGTTTCTGATGGACTGACTGGACGCACCGTTGGTCCTCGAGCCCGTCCCACCTACCAGATCAGCCATCAGACATAACTGCTTGTGCAGTGGCACGGTGCCCCCGGCCACGCACAGGATATGGACCTGCTGCCCTAGTAAAGCATCTCGCCGGAGTGGGACGTGGGGGAACAACGGCTATGCAAGAGAGGGAGGGAAATTAAAACCCTGAGGTGGGCAAGAAAAGCAAAAGCAGGGACTACGGAGGGTCAGAGCTGGAAAGAGCATCGCAGCAAAACGTGTTCCTCTCTGCTGCCTTCAGCCATGCCTGGAGGGAGCTTAGGGCTGCGCCAAGGGCTCCCGTCCCTGTGGGGCTTGTCTCAGTGGGGGGAACGGCCTTAGCAGGCTGTGATCTTTGGAACCCTCCCCAACTCTGTGCACACCTGGGAGCTCAACCTCCCTGTCAGAAGCCGCTTGCTCTGCTGTGGTTGATTCCCTGTGACCACCAGCCCCACCAGGAAGGAGCAGCAGAGGACAGTGATGCCTGGGGATGCCCAGTTCACTTGCCATTGGCTCCAGCACCCGTCGCTCGAACTGAGTCCTGGGTTCATGTAGCTCAGGCAGCCAATGGCACAGAGTCAGCCACGCCACCATTCCCCGGTACTGCCCATTTATTGAGCCAATGATCTCTGTCACTATGGTCCATAGTCCAAGAACAGGCTAGCATTATGCAACGAGGCATTGAGAGTCCTTCCCTTGCGATTCTGCTCCTTCATGTCCCTGCCACTGTGCTTGTCCCATGTGTCTCTGTGCTGCCGGGCTTAACTGTCCCGGAAGATGTAGCTGTATTGGTTCAAGATGTGCTCCACTATCTGATTCTGGAAGACCATGTGCATGGCCATGTTGCCCTCCTCGCTTGCTGGTCGCAGCAGTGTGGGACCAAACACAATAGCAATGCTCTGCACTGACATCCGGTTCTCCTCCTTGTGCTCGATCACCCTGCAGGGAGAAGGATGGCGTCATGGTGCCATCAATGCACCCAGTGCCCTTGGTCTGCCATCAGATGACCCCAGCCCATGAGCTGGCCCAGTTTTCCTGCCAATTTGGCCCTGGGACCCTCTACTCTCTCCCCCTTGCTGCCACCATGCACAGGGCTGGCTTTAGTCATGGGGACCAGGTGGTTTGTGGCTGCTGCCCATGTTTTGGACCCCGCTATCAATGGCTGGACAGGAGCAGGGTCCCTGGGCTGTGCAATGGGTGTCACCTGCAGAGGTGCTGGAAGAGGACTTTCATGGTGTCATGGTTGGCGGGCGGGAGGGAATACACCAGGTCACGGATGCACTGTCCCCGCCGCGTTGGCTCCTGCATCTCTGCAAGGGAAGGACAAACAGGACATGCTAGGGTGCTGGATCTGTCCCGTGGAGCTGGGACCCCTGTCTGGGGCCTGCCTGACCATAGAGAAGGTGACACGGACAGAGCGGGGCAGATCTCCATGGCACAGCTCCCACAGCACTGCTGAGCACATCAGCATGGTGGGGAACCTCTCCTAGGTCCCAGGGGTGCTGTGAGGACCCACTCATGTCCTGGGGGCTCTCTGCTTTGGCCTCATCCCCTCATTGTGCTCAGCCAGGGTGAGTTCAGGCATCGCAACTGGCACCCACTGCCATTCCCAACGGTCAGCAGGGACATCCCTTCCCTCCAGCCTCCTCCAACATGGACCCTGGGGTGGTCTTGGGGAGGGAACCATCCCCAAGGAGCCACTCCACAGCTCCAAGCCCAGCCCATGTAGTCCAAGGGGGAAGTGGTTTTGGGGGTGAAACGTGATGGGAAGGGGCAGAGGAGCATCGGCGCTGGGGCTGGACCAGGCTCCCAGCCTTACTGATGGCAGCAATGAACTTGTCGAAGTGGGCGAAGGGGGAGAGCGGCCCTGGGCAGT